TGTGGTGGCACATGACTGTAGTCCCAGCACCTAAGAGGCTGAGATAGGATGATCACTACAAATTCAAGGCTAACCTAGCAAGACCCTCTCAAAAAAGAAAGAAAGAAAGAAAGAAAGAAAGAAAGAAAGAAAGAAAGAAAGAAAGAAAGAAAGAAGAAAAAATATTCAGCAAAAAAATTCTTCTATATTACGCATAACAGTAGAGTATAACTATTTCCATAGGATTTGCCTTGTATTAGGTATTACAGATAATCTAGAAATGATTTAAAATACATAGCAGGTTTTACATAGGATATACACAAATACTATGCCACATTATGTAAGGGTCTTGAGCATCCTTAACCTTGAGTATCCATGCAGAGGATTAGGGAGTGTCCTGAAACTAATTCCCCTACAAATATTGAGGGATGACTAGAATCACTATTGTCAGAATAAAAAGTGAATAGCCTATAGAAATGGCCAGTGAAACCTAGACACCCAAACTTAGATATCCTAATAAGTAAGTTTATATCCTAATAAGTAACAATATGATTAACAATAAACTTAAAATTAGGCAAACCAAACTCAGTAAGTGCAATTAGCATCAGTTTACATTAACTGAACAAAAACTACTATAAATTTACTTTTATAAAGAATTTTTAAATGAATTCTTTTGTAAATTAAAAGTAAGATCAGAATTATAAACACTGAAAAGATTCAAAGAAATTAAGGGAGTATGTGACAAAATTACCAGCTAAAAAATACACTCATTAAAAACAGAAACAAATTTCTATTACAGGATATAACAGAGGTACTTATTTGATTAAGTACTTGATTAAGTATTTGATTATTTATCTAAAAATAAATTTGATTAGCTAATACAGTGATCTGGGTATTGTCTTCCAAATTACCAGTTTCCTTTCCAGCTCCCTGACCCACTCCAAACAGATATAAGCCAGGTCATTAAAAATATGATTCAGCAGGCATCTGGAACACAAACTGAATGCTTTCTTTCAAGAAAAATCATGCAGACACTAAAATTAATCTGCTATAATGACTGTGGAAACAGCAAAGAAAAGTAGCATTGTTTTGTGAATAACCAAGGTCAAATTGAGAATGATTTGTGAACACAAAGCTCACAAATAATTTCTTACATAAATTATTACTTTCTTTCACTGCGAGAAAGTTCTTTATCCATAAAGAACGTTATCTATACTGTTTTGGGTTTTTTTGACAACTCCCATGCCAAAACAGTATACTTCATTGTGTAAATTTTGACCCACTATTACTCTCATATTATGGTTTTCTTAGTTTTCAAGTGTAGAATATGAAGACATTTTAGATGGGAGATGCACATGGAAAATAAACTTCCACTCCATACACACATTTCAAAGCTGCTGGGCCCCAAGTCCATCTCTGATCTCCAGGGCTGCCAATATATAATGTGCAGCACACTCAAGCTACACTACATGAATAAGCTTATTAGTTCTGTATAAGTCAGAAAGCAACACATAAACCTGTAACAGACTTTTTTTTTTTTTTTTGTGGTACTAGGCATTGAACTCAGAACCCTGCACTTGCCAGACAAGCACTTATTCTGCTGAGCTATCTCCCCAGGGCCTACCTGTATCATTTGCTCAATGCTATATTAAATAGTGTATTGCAAGATAGATTAACTAATAGCTCCAAACCTCCTAACAATTTAAATGAAAATAACAAAATGTTTTGAGACCCTACTTTGGAATACAAAGGTTTGAGTTCCAATTTCCATTCTCTGTAGAACAAGAACAGGTCATTTCTTTATTGACATGCGTAAAATACATCACATGTTCTCCTGATGCTATAAATTCAATACCAATTCTCCAGCCACATCAGTTATGAGCAAGAAGTATATCACGTAACCTCAAATCTCTAACAGTGGAAGGCTTAATAAGATGGATGCTGCTAGAATAATGCTGCTTCCTTGCTGAGATAACCAAGCATCCACCTTCCCCCCTCAGATGCTTCTTCAGCAATTAGAGCTGTAAGGAATGGTTTAGCCTCATAAACAAGTTAGAGTGAAGACATTGGCCACATAGTACACATGCTCCATTTTTTAAAAAAATTTCTGAATCTTGGGCAACTATTCTCTTGTAACTACTTTACAGTTTCTAGCAGTCATTGTCCAAACCTGGAAGAACTTAAGTCTTCTCAGATGAGCACGTGAATGAATGGAGGTAAACAAAAAATAAAATTAAAAGAAGATGAGGTCTGATCAGGGGAGCAGCTGGATGAGAAAATCAAAAAAGGAACAGTAATTTAAAGTTTATTCCAGCCATAATGCAGGTTATTCTGATGCTATCAGCAGCATCACACGGCATACTTCTGGGTCCATTCTCAAGATATTCTGTTGTACTTGTCTCTGTCTGTTTTATAGAGCTGTGCAATCTCTGGTAGTAGGAGGTCATCTGGGTTTGGATCACATAGCAGTGAGCAAATGGATAAACAGAACTTTAGAAATAGTTAAAGCAGGGGGCCGGGGAGATGGCTCAGTGGAATAAGTGCTTCCCTAGCAAGCACAAGGGTCTGAGTTCAATCCCCGGTTCCGCAAAAAAAAAAAAAAAAAAAAAAAAAAAAAAAAAAGAAATAGTTAAAGCAGAAGACCACTGTGATCTTAGATTATAGAGATAAATGCTGCCATTACTGTTAATATTTGGATGATAAATTCTTTTTTTTTTTTTTTCAGTACCGGGGATTGAACTCAGGCCCTTGGTCTTGCCAGGCAAGTGCTTATTCTACTGAGCTATCTCCCTGGCCTGGATGATAAATTCTTGTTGTAAATGAAACCTTAGGTGATTTGAAGGAGTAGTCTGTAGAAAAATGAATTGTTAAAAAGAATACACCGCCTTGGTATAGCCCATACAAAGGTCCCATAATTGTGGCTTGCCAATAGAACATATCATCCCCAACTGGGCCTGCATAACGTCGTGCTGGATGGTTCCGGACCAAATCACTAAGTTCCTTATTAATCCACTTCAGCGCCATGGTCCATGCTGTCCCAGCCCTCTGTGTCCGCGTGTGCTCAGCCCCTCCGCTTCTGGATGGTTCTCAGCTCCCAGCGGCTCAGACACCTTCTTCTTCACTGTGCGAATCCGTCCACCAACGCCGTGGCTCGAGCGAGAGCAGCTTGGTGGCCCAGTCCCCAGACCGCAAGGCCTGCGCACCGCCACCTCCCACAATGAACAGCACCTTAAACTCAGCCGACCAGAGGTCGCGCCACGTATTCATGTTGTTGACTAACACATTCCAAATTCTTAGATAATGCCCAACACACAGGTGGCATTACAGTATTCTTGAGCTTTTAGGAATGATATCTTAATTAAAATATAGTCCCCCATACTGACGGACTTTAAAGACAATGGGGTAAGACAGTTTTGTTCTGTTATTTCAATTCTTGTTTTTTATTTAATATCACTTTTTTCTTTTCTTTTGTTTTTTAATTTAATATCACATTTTTCTTTTCCTTTTTTTTTTTTTTTTTTTTTTTTTTTTGAGCCAGGGTCTTGCTGTTCAGGCTGGCCTTGAGCTCCCTTTATAGTCCAGGCTGATCTCAAACTCAAAACAATTTTCCTGCCTAAGCCTCCCAAGTGCTAGGATTACTGCTGTGCACCACCACACCAAGCTTTGTTAATTTAGTACTAATAAATTTTGTTGTGTTGCTTAATCTCACTTTTTTTGCTAAATGTATTCTCTTTAATTGAAGGACTACTTAATGAATTTTAAGTATATAAAATAACTACTTTTAAATGTTTTGAAATGTATGTACCTATCAGTTCATAACAGCAAAACTATCATCCATATCAGGATATTGAACAAAAGGAGTGGTAAGAGATAGTTCAGTAGTCTAAGTACCTGCCTGGCAAGAGCAAGGACCAGAGTTCAATCCCTGGTACTGCATGTCAAGGCAGCCCCACACTGAGCTGGCCACCAAAACCAGGTGTGGTAGTGCACAGCTGTAATCCCAGCGCTGGGGAGGCTGAAACAGAAGGATCACTATGAGTCAGAGCAGCACAGTGAGACCCTGTAACAAATACATAAATTTTTAAAAAATAAATATATTGAACAAAAATCATGCATAAGTGCCACATAATTTCTAAACATGAAATTTCTTATATTATCCTTATTTCTGCCTGATAAAAGTATTACTCTCCACTTCTGTGATCCAAAGAGTAGATTCTATTACCTTTAAATCCTTTTAACCTTTGTTTCACTTTATTTTTTTACTATCAATTAAACTGATGAATATTTTTTAATGTATTTAGTACAGGGATTTCAGGGTCTCACTACATAGATCGAACTCAGTGATCCTCCTGTTTTTAGCCTCCCAAGTGCAAGGATTACAGGCATGCACCACCACACCCAGTCTCAATCATTGTCTCAGCATGCCTGCCTAAGCAGGTGCTTTGGTCCACTGGGCTATCTGGCCAGCCCTCTTGTATCATGATTTCTATATATTACATTATTTAATAGCACTCCTCATACTATAAGAATTTTACCATACACTTACACTACTCTCCTTGGATTTTTGATATTTTCCTTCATTCTTTATATTATCCTTCATGAAAATGGTGTGGAGTTCATCCATTACTGCAGATGTTTCTGATTGTGTTATTCAGCTGGTTTTCAAACTACAAATTCATTTTTCTGAAACCGTTAAATTTTCTTGTAACTAAGGTCCCTTTTAACCTCTCTGAGCTCACCAGAGGCTTTTGTTGGAAACTTCCAAATTTATTAGTTTTTTCATCTTGTTTTTTCTTCTAGTAATTGTAGCTTCAATTCTCTGTCAGCTCTTTTTCACTTTTCCAATTTTTGCAAGAAACTTCCTACATCTACCATTGTACCATTATAAACAACAAGTCCTACATTTTCTTCTACATCCTTTAATTCCTGTTTTACTGTGGATGTTAAAAGTAACAACCTGTTGCCTAGCATACCTTTCTGCAATGATTCAGACTTTTCATCTCTTGATGTATCTGTTAATTTCTGATAACAGCACAATTCAGGGCCTGCCAGATAGCTCAGAGGATTAAAGCGCCTGCTTAGGCAAACAACCAGGGATCACCAGGGATAGATTTCCTCGGTGTGCCTGCCAGGCCCCACCCCAGGGCATGCTAAAACTGTGATTGAGACTGGGCGTGGTGATGCACGCCTGCCTGTAATCCCAGTGCGTGGGAGGCTGAAAACAGGAAGATCACTATGAGTCTGATCTGTGTAGAGAGATCCTATAGGCCTTGTACTAAATACATTTAAAAAAAAAAAAAAAAAAAGCACGATTTATAAAGTACTACTTTATTAGTAAATTTCTTTACCTGAGCTCGAAAAAGATGCAGTCCAAGACAATAAGAGTATTTCTTCCAAATCCTTTTCAAGACGCTAACCACAATGGCTTGGATCAAAGTAGACAAAAACCATTAGGAGATCCCTGTTAATTTTGATCACCTGACTCTTCTTTTTCCTTATCTTAGAACGCTTCTCTTTGCAGTATCTCTTCTCCTTGATATCACTTTTGCCATCTTGTTTGTTCATTTCTTCCTCATCCTGATCATCTTCATCCTTACCTTCTTCTGCTTCCATTGGGACCTACTCATCCTGATTCTCATCTTCTTCAGTTTCATCATAATCTTTATAACCATATTTTCTTTCTTTCTTTCATCTTTATGTTCTCTTTTATCTTTATCATCTTCTGAGTTTCTCCATTTGGGTTTGGTTCATCAGTTTCATCATCTCTTTTTTTCTTCTCTTTTTTCTCATCTTTGGGTTTTCTTATCCTTTTCTTTTTTGCCCTCTTTCTCAAGGAGATAGTAATGACTTGTATATTCCTACACCAAAATCACTTTGCAGGGGCTGGGGAGATAGCTCAGCATTCTAAGCACCTGACTGGCAGACACAAGGACCCAAGTTTGATCCCTGGTACCGCCATGCCAGCCCTGGAACCCTGGGCATGCCATGCTGGCCCTGAAACCAGGCATAGTGGTGTACACCTGTAATACCAGCACTGGAAATGCTGAGCCAGGAGGATCACTAGAAGCCTAAACTGCATAGTGAGACCCTTTAAATTAAACCAATAAATTTTTTTTTTGATGTTTCATGCTTTTTCTTATATGAGAAATGTGAAGCATGAATAAGGCACATATAAAGGATAATAGGAAATACAAGATAGATATTTTGGCAAAGAAACAAAATAGGCAGATTTAAATTTCCCCATGACTAATTGAGCATTTATTCAGATGCTTGTTGGATACCACTCCTCCATGGAGAAGTGACTTTTCAAGTCTTTTTGTTTATGTTGCAGCCATCTACTGTCCACTTTCAATTCCAATCTGTCAGACTTTTTTGGTTTCCAAATGTATTTGTGGTATCGTATTTTGTCCAGTCATTTACTTTTTTGGTCTCTCCTTTCACCCCTCCAACTCTCTTGTAAACTACCTATGTCATTCACCTCCCCTCAACTCA